TTTTGATAGATTCTTAAATGATGAAAAATATCCACTAAATAATTTAGTACTTTCACCCCAAGTAACTGCGCACATAAATGAAAGATATGTGGGTTAATTTGCATAGAAATATTAATTATAGTTGCCCAAACTGGGAACCATTCAGATGCACATCGTCTGGTGTTTGGATAAATAAAATGTGGAGTATTTGAGCTACGAAAAACCACTCAGCTAAAAAAGAACAGAATATGGCCAAATAGATGCAACCAGAAAGCTCCATTCCCTTTGAAAGAAACCAGAATACTGAGCAAACCACATAACTAACAGACACTATAAAGCAACTATACAATCCAGTCTACAAAACAACCAGCTGACAGCATGATGACAGGATCAAAATCTCACATATCAATACAAATCCCAAATGCAAATGCTCTGAACTTCACAATTAAAAGGCACAGAATGGCCAGCTGAATAAAAAGATAAGACCCAAGTGTATTTCTTCTTGGGAGACCCATCTCACACATAATGACACCTACAGGCTCAAAGTAAAGGATGAAGAAAGATCTGCCGTGCAAACAAAAAAATTCAGGAGCATCTGTTCTTACATAAGATAAATCAGACTTTAAACCAAAAATAAGAAGGACATTACAAAATGATAAAGGTTCAATTGAACAAGAAGCCTTAAGTGCCGTAACCATCTCTATTCTTTCTGTAATAATATGTCTCAGCCTGTCCTGTCTTGTTAATTATGGCTTATATACTACAGTGATTATATTTTAGTATATTTTTGTTGGTTCTATAGCTTTTGACTTTAATAAATTTTACACATTTATTCATTTAATTATTTAGATATTTCTTGAAATATCTCTCGTATCATCAGGCCGGTTTTTTATTCTGTGATGAATGAGAACTGATGTTGGCCTTCCCTTTTTGTAATTTACAAACTTGAAAAAAAGACCCACATTATGTTAGGAGTTTTACAAAGGAAATGTGTGAGCTGTTCTTGACATCATGTTTCCATGAGACCTCATCTAGTTCGGAAAGCTGGGAACTGGTGGAGGGACAGGATTTGTCCAGGTGGGAATGGAGAATTTTAGGCTGACACTGAGTTTTAATAAGGGATATCTGGAAGGCAACCTGCCTGTGCTTTAATTTGGCTCAGCTGCGTTTTCATGCTCATGTAATCTTTTACCTCTAGTAAGCTTTGATAGGTTAAAAGAGCATGCATCTTATACAATATAATAAAAGACATTACATTTATTCAAATAAAGTAGAAAAGACAAATGTATATACTGTACATTATCAACACTTTAAAAAATGACATAATAAATACATATCCTGGAGGTAAAATGAAGGAAAAGGTAAAGAGGTATGACTGATTTTCTCCATTAAGAAAGTCACCAAAACAGGAGCCTCCTCTGCTATTAGAATTCCCAAGGCCTTGGTTAGGTTTATAACCTGTCCCTGATCATTTAGATCCATGGATCTAATGAAAGGTCTGAGAGGAAAATAGAAAATACGTGAGAGGAAACTAAAATGAAGGAACTTTGGGCAATGTTAACAAAGCTCACTATCCCACATTCATAATCCAGGAATACCCCCAGACAGCCTTGGGGCCTTGGAATAGAATGATGTAACAGTGGGGAAGTAGACAAGAGACTGAAATGGTCATCCACTTTAAGACACAGAAGGAGAAAGATACCCTCAGAGTCAAGTCGCATGTCATTCCTCTTTGTCCAGGCTTCCCCGCAAAGTCCTATCACCCAATTACAAGAGTCTTTCAGATCCACAGCCCAGTAACGTTTGCCAGAGCTGAGGATCTGAGCTCGCCATGAAGACGTGTACTCTGTGCTTGCTGGATTACAGTACATGTCTGCATCAACAAGGCTGCATTGCAAACACCTCAGGTCTTTGAACAGGAGTTTGTGATTACTGCATTTCTTATGATCCAAGGTGATATACACTGTAGCAAAAAACAGTGAATGCAAAGAACAATTTAAAAGTTCCGAGGTCTAGGTGCAGAGGCAGTCTGGCAAATGCTTAACACCCAATCCCTGAAAACAAGCAAACAAAAGCAACTGCTTTGTTTTGTTTGTTAGGAATATTTCCACCTCACTAAGGTCAGTTTCAGGCTACTAACAATTTAATAATCAGTAAAAAAATTTCAAAACATTTACCAGTTAGCTCTCATGAGTCAGTGTTGACTGGCTCTGGTACACCATTCTATCACGAATGGCTTAAGTAGTATATCAGGGGAATTACGGAGACAGTTTAGCAACAGCTTCTTGTCTATTTGTAGAGCAAATGAATCTTTAATCAAGCAATTAAGATGAAAGAAAATGTAGAGAATACATAAAGACATAGGATGTCAAGCTCTGACTTTTATTTTTGCTAGACCACTGAAATTTTCCAGCTCATTCATAAGATGCCAAGAAAACAGCAAAATGGCCCTTTATTAAGCCTCTTTATTAACCAATTTTCACAAAATATACTAAAAATAATAAACACATTATTATGCTTAAGCATGATATTGTTATCATTATTAGTCCTAAACAATGAACACTTTCCCTAAGATGGGAGGGCTTCACACTTGATCTTAGCCAAAAGGCCAAGAAGTAACAAGGGCTTCACAACGTAAGCAAGCAAAGGTGAAATAAACTAAAAATCTACATGTGCCTTTTTAAAAAGGTGGCTTCTCTTCCAGAATTTCTGATTTCGACACCATTAGATCAGAATTCTCTTAATTTCATCCCATCCATGGCTGCCTCTCTTCTGCCTGCCAGACCCACCCTCTGTTTTTATTTTTCTGTATAGCCCTCTACACAGCGAAGGGATTATCTTTCAGGCTGCTTTGTGGTTATACCTGTTTACAAACTTGTTTTTATGTTTTTGAGAATCCTGTGGTTTTTCAAATATATTCCTTAAAACTTCAGTCTTTAGGTAAACATTTGAATACATTAAGATGTTTCTAAGAATCAGATTATCTAAATATAACCACAGTTATGAATATGAAGTTTTATATGCTACATTGAAAAATTAATACTTTATAGCATCCCTCCAGGTCTTTTCCTGAGTGGTTGTTTATTTTTTTACCCAAAATAATCATGTTAAACACTACATTTCTTGTTTGTTTGTTTACTGTAGACTTCAGTTAACTTTTCTTGAAAGTTTATTAACAGTTTTAAAATCAGTTATAAAGGTTTCCATATTTATCTGCTTGTTCACTGAAAATAATAATGAATAGAGATGGAAAAGTTTAGACTGAAGTGAATATAGGTCACTCTTATAAAAATACTTACGTTGGAAATATTAGTGCAGCTCATACTTTGACCTCTGAAGAAGTTAAGCCTTTCTGACATCCCAGTGAAGGTCCATGCACTGAGCTGTGGGTTCACAGGCTGAGGCACGGCCAGTGCAGAAACTCATTCCTGTGAAGAAAAATACCTACTTACCACCAGTCCCAAAGGAATCATTAGCAATCCAGTAAAGATGCTTGATCAGATTCCTTACAATTAGGTTGAAGAGTGTGACTTGAACTCAAGAACTGAGAAATATTGCAATTGTAACTGTATTTTATTATGTGCTCTGCTGCTTTTAACACCTCTATTCCAGTAGAATACATTATCTCAGTCATAATTGTTACAAGTTCTCACCTTTCCAGCTTCCCTAGGTGAGCCATGCAGAAATTCTCCTTTAATTTCTGAAATTTGATAGGTGTCAAATTTTTGGAACATGCCACCTGCTACATATGGAGCCTCAGCTCTACACTACATTCCTTCTTGGTGACGTTGCCTTTCTCCTGTTTTTGCCATCTTTCCATCTGCTGCCTCTCTGAAATTATTTGCCTTTCCCATGGACAACCTGGCATAACCTTGGAATATTTAGGACTTAGAAAATTAGAGGCAGCAAAAATAGTTGTCTTATTGAAACTTCTATAGTAGGCCTTGCAATTAATACTTCTCCCCATCCTTCACTTTCAGTCTGAAGTAGCCAATATAAAAAGCCTGGATGACTTTTAGAAAAGGAAGGAATAAATACAGAAACTCGTCACTAGCAAATGTGGGTCCATCCCAGCAGAAACAGCCTGATTATTGTCACAATTATTACCATGACTTGGATAGAGGGGCAAACTTAACTCTTCATTATGTCTCCTAAATCCTATAAAGAGAGAGAAGACAGCTTAGTTTGCAGCACAACATGGTTCTCTAGTTCAGTGCAGTCTGAGGCTATGGACTGGATTGAGAAACTTAATATCTTCTACTTTCCTTCTCTGGATAAAGCCATTTTTCATTTTCTTTATAAATATGAAATCCAGTTTGATGTCTACATATAGTTGATAAAGTTACACTCTTGGTGAAACATAGATGGACTGAGGTTGAACATATGGGAAGACATGCTGCTGTACAACCATCTGCAGCCAGATTGACAAAGGTCTCCACAAAGTTCTTACAAGAATGTGTGGGTCTCTTGTCCGGGTGCGGTGGCTCACACCTGTAATCCCAGCACTTTGGGAGGCCGAGGTGGGTGGAACACCTGAGGTCAGGAGTTCGAGGCCAGCCTGACCAATATGGTAAAATCTTGTATCTAAAAAAAAAAAAAAAGAGTGTGTGGGTCCCAAATCTAGGACCTCAAAACTAAAAGAATAAATAATCTTCATAAATCCCACACTTTCATATATTGACACATCTGTATACAAAACTGAATTATGTATTCATGAGCTGCTCTATTGCAACTACTAAGAATTGGTGGGTATAGTAAAATAATTTTAGAAGGGAATTTTCCTAGATTTGTTATTAGAACCTTTTCAAATAGTTTTCCTTCTCCTCTATGGGGCAAGAAAGAGTGAGACTTGGTTTACAGAGGAGCGAAACCTGCTACCATAAGGTCAGGAGAGGCAGAATCTGAATATTTGGAACTAGAAAAGAATACAGATCAAAAAGGATATAGACTGTAGCAGATATGATTTCCAAACAGGGTGGTATTCAGCACCCTGACCTCCTCCTCCAGTTTTTACCTGTATGAGGTTCATATCTGCTTTCTAGCATATTTCCTTCATTTTCTCATCCATTCCTCTCAGGAGTCTCCCTGTCTTGGCCATTCTAGTTTCACTTCTGAGTTGCAGAAAAATCATCTTGCCTTCACTTGCCAGGCTCTCTAAGTGCTTTTGCTTTTCTGCACAGAGGTACTGACACAGCTTAGGGTATTCAGCGCTGATCATCATGACCCGCAAATGCATAAAAACCTGTAGTGACATTGGGTTAATTAAATCATGGGTCTAAGTGATTTTATTCTTTCCTTATCTGATATTACTCGTTTCATGTTTTGTGCTATTCTGCTAAATATAGTTTAATATCTTTCCACTTCAAATACAATGTAAATCTTCCTTTCTTCCTCCTTTCCTTCCTCTCTCCCATTTCCCTGCATCATTCCACCTACTTTCCCTCAAACCTTATTTTCATTTTTAAAATGAAGATAAATTAAGATCAAATTTATATTGTCTTATATAATGTTCTGCCCTCTTCATTACTATATCTGAATTGTATTCCATTCTTCTCAACAGTCCTACTCATAACAATTTACTCCTCAGGAAAATAGAGAACATAAGACATTACTGAATCTTCCTAAATTACTTCCACTTCCAAAACACTCAGTGTTTTTACCAGCAGTTGGCTATGCTCACCTATTAGCTAAGACTACTCATCTTTAACTGCCCCTTCTGTAGATTACTCTTACAGTGTTCATTCTTTTCCTCTGCCCTTGCTGTCTCTGTCTCTATTGTTTGCCTATTCTCTCTTTCTGGATCCATTTCTCTGTCTCCCTCTTTTTCTGGCCTGTCTTTGTTTTTCTCTGTCTCTTTCTGTCCCTTTCTCTCTATTACCCCCATCTCCTTCACTCAATTATCATTATTTTTGAGACAGGGTCTTAGTCTATCACCCAGGTAGGAGTACAGTGTTGCAATCATTGCTCACTGCAGCCTTGAATTCCTGGGCTGAGGAGATTCTCCCACCTCAGCCTCTTGAATGAATAGCTGAGACTACCGACTCATGCTACCACTGGCAGGCTACTAGGCTACTAGATTCCTTTTTTTTTTTTTTTTTTTGAGATGGAGTCTCACTGTGTCGCCAGGCTGGAGTGCAGAAACGCGATCTCAGTTCACTGCAACCTCTGCCTCCTGGATTCAAGTGATTCTTCTGCCTCAGCCTCCCAAGTAGCTGGGACTACAGGCACATGCCACCATGCTTAGCTAATTTTTGTATTTTTAGTAGAGATGGGGTTTCACCACATTGGCCAGCATGGTCTCGATCTCTTGACCTCGTGATCCGCCTGCCTCGGCCTCCCAAAGTGCTGGGATTACAGATGTGAGCCACCGCACCCAGCCTCAATTGCTTTTTTCACACAGTTTTTCCCTTCTTTCCTTTGTACCTTCAAATGTGCAAATTTTGCAAATTACTTTGGGAAAAAGAATTCTTGTCCCAATTACCTCATCTGGCTTCTCTTGCTAGAACATTTCTATCCCTATCAAAGCTAAATTTATTGATCAAATGTGATCAAACTTGCTGTGCTCATCTGTGTGATTAATGACTCCTTTACTTCTATTCCCTACTCTTTACTGAATCAAACATTACAACTTACCAAGAGCTTCTTTTTTCTAAATCCAAATATTGTATTTAAGTCCTAGAATTCTTCACCTTCCTTCTGCATTTGACACTTATTTTCTACTTATTCCTTTTAATCATACCTTGTTTTTCCTGCCACAGAAAAATACATTCTTACAAAGCCACTGATTCATATCTTCTGCACCTTCTTATCCTGAAAATGCATTGTTCTTAACCAGCATACATTCTACAAACCTGCATTATTTATACCCATTCTCTGCTTTATTTTTCCCTGAAGCACTTCACAAACATTATTTATTATAAAGTTTACATTTTAATTTGTGGATTGAATTCTCCCACTAGATCATAGACTCCCGGGGTTAGTGATCTGTTTCTTCTTTTGTCCACTTCTGTCTCACGTTGTTGGGCTAGAGCGGTGAGCAGCACACGATAGCCCTTCACAAGAATGCAGGCCGCCTCAGAAAATGCATCTGAAATGATCAACATGATTTTGTTGTTTCCCTTCGGCATTCACACAGTATCATGTGTTGATTCTTGTTGAATGAATTATTATTCTCTCCTGGTCCCTTGTTTATATGTCCCCTTCAGAAGTTCAGAAGTGCTTGAGATCTTTCAGAATAAAAATGTTGTTTAATTTACTTATTCAGTTTTAGGTACTTAATTCTTATTTGTGAATGGATTATGTAATCATAAATTCTTAGCTAAGCAATCACATTCTAGACCTGGCCATAATTTCATTTATAGCCTATCTCTTATCACTGCTGGACACTTTTTCATGAAGTAATCAAGAGGAGTTAACTCACATGTCCAAATAATTTTATGATTTTTCTAACTTCTAGCTTTCTTAATTCTAAAATCCTTCTATCATTATCATCCATAAATTTCTCAATTTTACAAATATATTAGCATCAGATTGATTTTCAACTAGAGGCAATTTTTTTTTTTTTTTTTTTTTTTTTTTTTTTTTTTTTTTAGCATTTCATGTCTGTTAAGCTGCTGTAGAATCCCGTTTTTACCTTCATCCTAGCATGCCATTTTTGGCACATTTTCTTGTCTCTGCAGTTATGTATTATTGGTAGATACTGCTTTATCAAGAAAAATCAGGATGTTTTTAAGTAATACATTGGATTCAACATGAACACTCACACTGAAGGTTATGTTATTTTGTAGAGAAACACATGTAGCTCTTTTTTCTGATCATCCTATTCAGGGGACATTATGATTAAACTCAAATTCTTCCCCTACAAGTTACCACATTTTCTATTCCAAACTAGTTCTGAGAAAAATGAGCTTACTGTTTACCTTCCATTTTTTTGTATTATGTTGGTCTCTCTGTTTAGATTTCTTTGATTTTTCTGCTTTTTTTTTTCCAGATGGACTTCATTTGCATCAGGAAGTTCTCCTGAAAAACAAACAAACAAACAAAAAGCTATAAATTTGAGCACTAGAAAATATTGTATATTTCTGATACCTCCAAAAGAGATATAGACATGGGACAAATAAAGAGTGCAGAATGCAGACATGTAGGGGCTTTCCTTGAGGATGCTGATTGTCAATTCTGAGAGGCCAATCAAACCAAGGGTAGAATTCCCAAATTTGGAAAACAAGATCCATTATCTTAGAAATCTGGCACTGAAACTGATACAACCTGGTCAATTTTCAGAAGTAAATCTTATTTTATATTTAATTTTAAAATGCTAGCCCTCAATTCATCTACAGTATTATTGGAGCATAGTGACCAGAATTTATTAGAATTTTCTATAATAGATTCATTGCAATCATGACTGTTAGCCAATGACTATCATGGAAACTAGTGATTAATCTAGAGCTCCCTACACGGAAATACCAGAACCCTAATGCTCATCAACTTTGATATCATTCCTCTCCCGCAGCCCAATAGAATTTAAATTTCAGGTGAGCAGGGATATTTGTGTGGTTTCTTCAGTGCTTTATCCTAGTGTCTAGAACAGTGTCTAATACATGTTCATCAGTAATTCTGTTTATTGCATAAAATTATTAATGATTTACTACTAATAATGATTTTATTATAATTAATAAAAAGATACATTTAGGTTGTAAAGGATGATACATTTAGGATGTACAAAATCTGATTGAAAAAGCATAAAAATTTAAGTTCATAAGATTATTAATAATAAAGTGTATCTTTCCTTATGACCTGTAAGGATTCAGGGTCCTTCACATTTCAAAGTGCAATCAGTGTCATTCACTTACCCTATAGTATTCATCAGCCTTTATCCTATCGTGTCTGTGAGTAGCATGCTCTGGCGATTGACAGCAAAGAAAACAGCAGCCTCCTGTCAATTTCACTGGTGATGTTCTTGGTTTCCTGGTGTCTCCTGGAGATCAGCATGGCAGAGCTTGGTAAGTGGCAGGTGACCGATTCCCTGGTACGAAGAACTTGTTTCTCAGCAAAAATAATGTGTTTGAAGTTCATTTGCTGTAATACTTCCCTGCACACAGGGCAGCAAGTTGGAGTTTGTGCATCTTCCCACAAGAGTCAGAGACAGGGACTACAAACTCTGCCCACAGCAAATAGTGATAGAGTCTGTGAAATAGTCTGTGCAGATCAAGCAGGTGACCTCACTGGTAGAACACTGCATGATAGCAGAAGCCGTGTTTCTGAGAAAATGAAAGTGTCATTTTTCTCCCAAGGAGTATGAGATGAGATGAAGACCTTTTTCACTCATTTATGTATGCACTGTAGCAGGACAGTCCGTTTTCTGAATGGCTAAAATAGGATGGAGAGGCGCAAAGGGTGCAACAGATTGATAACATTCACCCTTTCTTGACAACTTTGGCCTATATGCTATTTTCTAGCTCCCGAATAGAAATCCAATATTTTTCATATCCATTACCTCTTCTACAAAAATTTCTAAAAATCACAGGTCCTGGGCTGCTCTGTAGCCACAGGCAGTGGGTCATTATTTGGTGCAAAGCTATCGAGATTTCCACTCCTTTTTTTTTTTTTTTTTCCTCATTCTCCGATTGGTGTGTACTCCAATTCTGCACTCCAATTCTGGCCAAAAGAACAAGAAAGTAGACTCCTGGGAGAATTCTGTAAAAGGTATTCTTGCTATGGAAGAGACACATGGAAGAAATAATTGCCTTTTCTGCCTCTGGACATTATTTAGATGCAATATTTGCTTGTGTAAGCATTTTGTGGACTCATTGTGAACTAATCTAAAACAAAACTCAATACTCTAAGGAAAACAGAAAGGTGGAAAGAACCTGAATCCTTAATAATACAATAGACCACTAATTACATAATTCTGGGGAGGCCAACTAATGCAATGGAAGAAATGGTGGAAAATTATCATTTTACAGATGCCATAAAATAATTGAATCAGGCAAGAATAATTAATGGATAATAAAATAACGAAGTAATAGATTTTGGGAAAGAGCCTATTCGCATATCATCAAAGTTCTGCCCCACATGTTAGCTCTATCCACAGTGTTACTGAGGTATAATTGATAGGTGAAAGTGTATAATTTAATGTGTACAGAGGTAGATGACTAAGGACACAAAACACTTCTGTAGTGTTTTTGCCAGAAACGTTTCACCCACATGTAACCATGAGAGGAAATTGGATAAATGCATTTGAAAAGCACTATGCAAAAAATAATCCTGGCCTATTAAAATAATTTTAATTTCTTAGGAGAAAGTATTTGGAAGCAGCTGCATAGCAAAGATAATTAAAAGAAAAGAAAAATTAACTACAATGTAATTATAGTATCATTGATTTGTACCTGGTTTGAAAAAAGTTACAGCCAATTATGACATTATTGAGACATTCAGGGACATCATAAAACCTAATAGGGTCTTACGGTTGGTTGCCGCTCAGAAATGGAGAAGGATGAAAATACTATTGTGGCCTTCCTGCAAGAAAAAAAGTGCGAGACAAACTAAAGATTAAAGAGGGTTCATTTGTTTTCTTTCTTCCTTCCTTTCTTTCTTTCCTTTTTTTTCTTTCTTTCTTCTTTTCAACAGAGTCTCCTTCTGTTGCGCAGGCTGGAGTCCTGCGGCACAATCTTGGCTCACTGACCTCTGCCTCCCGGGTTCAAGCGATTCTTCTGCCTCAGCCTTCTGAGTAGCTGGGACTACAGGCACATGTCACCATGCCCGGCTAATTTTTGTGTTTTTAGTAGAGATGCGTTTTCACCATATTGGCCAGGCTGGTCTCAAACTCCTGACCTTGTGATCCGCCTGTGTTGGCCTCCCGAAGTGCTGGGATTACAGGCATGAGTCACTGTGCCTGGCTTGTTTGTCTGTTTTCTAAACCATTAGAGAATAGAGGTAACAAGACAACTCAATAAGGTCTGGATAGAGACAGGTACAGCACTGAGAGAAACAGGACTCATGCATACGTTTATCTGGGACAGATTCTACCAAAGCCCATAAAAGCAGGTAGAAGATAAACCAAATGGTTTTAACTTACTGCCACAAAAGCTGGGCTAGAGTGAGTGTGCAAAGACCCTTAGGGACACAGATACAGAATAATCCTCACCCAAAGGGCAGGCCTTTCCAATAGAAATGCCAAGAGGCTCTCACACGGAAAACCAGGAAGAATCAAGAGAAATTTTCCTTTCTTGTGGTACTGACTGGGAGAGAAAAATAGCAGCAAAGACATTGAATCAACCTAAATATTTATCAATGATAGACTGGATGAAGAAAATATGGTACATATACACCATGGAATACTATGCAACCATGAAAAGGAACAAAACAATGTGCTTCACAAGGACATGGAAGGAGTTGAAAGCCATTATCCTCAGCAAACTGCGGGACAGAGAAAAGCAAACATCACATGTTCTCACTCATAAGTGGAAGCTGAGTGATGAAAAAACATGGACACATGGTGGGGCGGGGGGCGCGGGCAACACACACTGGGGCCTCTCAAGGGTCAAGGGTGGAAGAAGGGAAAGCTCAGGAAAAATAGCTAATAAATGCTGGGCTTAATACCTAGGTGATGTGATGATCTGTGTAGCAAATCACCATGGCACACATTTACCTATGTAACAAACTTGCACATCCTGCACATGTACCCCTGAACTTAAAGGCTGAAAAAACAAATATATTTTAAAACATCTTTTCATTCCTAGAAGTTTTGCTCGCCATGCATTTTCCCAAAGCACTATATTAAAAGTGAAAGTGTTTGGGAGGCCGAGGCGGGTGGATCACAAGGTCAAGAGATCGAGACCAGCCTGGTCAACATGGTGAAACCCCGTCTCTACTAAAAATACTAAAAATTAGCTGGGCATGGTGGCACGTGCCTGTAATCCCAGCTACTCAGGAGGCTGAGGCAGGAGAATTGCCTGAACCCAGGAGGTGGAGGTTGCGGTGAGCTGAGATCGCGCCATTGCACTCCAGCCTGGGTAACAAGAGCGAAACTCCGCCTCAAAAAAAAAAAAAAAAAAAAGTGAAAGTGATTTCACACCAGATTTGTCTTTCAGTCTCTGCCTCTCTCAGTACACATAAAAGCACCCTTTGCAGTGAATCTGAGAATAGTTTGTGTAATTTTCTTAATGTTTCTCCCACTGAAACACAAAATTTAAAATAATTTATACCAAATATGTTAACAAATATTAACATAATAGTGACAAAGGCTAGTTACATATCATGGGTTAAAATAACATTTCTATTTTTCATTTTGCAAGTTTTTTACAAGTAGCAAAAATATATGTGCACAGTCGTATTGGGAGAATAGAAGTAGACAGGTATCTGTATAATATAAATAGGATTTTGAATGAACAATAACAAACCTTTTCAATGTAAATAAAGTCCAGAACCTGTTAAGGCACTCGGGGCGGGGAGGGGTGTCTCCAGGTGGAGAGTGGTTCTCATTCCAGTTCTATTCCTTTGAAAAGTTTCTGGATAAACACTGCCACCATCAAAGTGACCACAAATGGTGCTTTTCCACATTAATATGCTTGTTGAACCCTGCTTCAATTTATTGTAAAACATAGGGAAGAGATGAGACTGGACCTTTGGTTAAAAGCTTTATTAAAGGCTCCTTGAAAACTACGGAGAAAGAAAATCAAACAGTAACCAGAAGCCTGGTAGCCTAGTTCCTGCAGCTCACTTTTCTCACCTTCCAACTGGTGCTTCTCCTCAAGGGACCTCCGTTGTCTTATCCTGCTTGCCCAACCACCCAGAACTGATGCTTTGTATTTACCCACATTGTCCAGATCCAGGAAGAGGAGATGGGAGTGGGCTAAAGTTTTCATGACCAGCTGTGCTGTGTTTCCTTTCTGAGAAGGGAGCCTTCTCAGATTAACAGCCAGGCTGATGAGTTAGCCTAATTGGTGCATCAGTATCACCTGAAAAGCTTCTGAGGCCACAGACTGCTGGGGCTTACCCATGGTATTCTTGATTCTGTAGGTCTGGGGTGTGAAGAGAGAGTTTGAGTTTTAGGCAACTTAGAAGAGGCTGCTGCTGGTCCCTGAACCATACTTTGAGAATCTCTGATTTAGACCAATGTTCGTAAAAGATGATACATTCAGGTTGTACAAGAATGGGCAATTTTAAAAAATGTGATTGAAAAAGCATAAAAATAGAAGTCCAGGATATAAGCTTGCCTCTGTCGCTTTTTATGGTTTGTGATGAGTGAAAAGAGTGCTAGGAAATGAATCCTCTTTTGTTCATGCAATCACAGCACCATGGGAAGGCTACTGTGCCCCACGCTTGGTTTTCAGGGTCTAGGAGCTCAAGGAACAAGATGCAGACCCAGTGTCCTGGATCCCGGGCAGCCCTAGTTTTAGGACAGTTTTCTTCTTCACCCCAGCCTTATAACGAGTAGGTGATCAGGAAATGGGTCCTTTCTACAGGGGTTCACAATGTGTGGCTGTGAATACTTTTAGGGTGCGTGAAGTCAAAACTATTTTTGTACTAATGTTTAGACATTAATTGCTTTTTGAAATTTTATTATCCCAAGAGTGTACAGGAGATTTTCCCAGGGGCTATATAGCATGTAATATTGCAAAAGAGTGGAGAAGCACATGTGAGAATCCAGATGTAAGAATGTCTGGCTTCTATTAAGCCAGACATTAATGGGATTTGTAAACATGTAATCAAAGCCACCCTTTTATTTATTTTATGGTTTTGGAAAGTATACTTTTTTCATAGAAATATTACTTTACCAATTATGGTTTTATAATTGTTAAATTATTCATAAATGTATATTTTTCAATTTTAATTTCTAATACAGCATATCTTGACATTAAAAAACCCACATCCACAAAAGCTTATGGAGACTCTCAATTATTTTATCAGCTTAATTGAGGTATAATTTACATACGGTAAAATTTACTTGCTGTGTATGACTTAATGTCTTTAATGAATTGCCAATAAATTCATTTTATGTTCAATCACTCTATCCACTTTTAGAACACTTTCATTCTTCCAAAAATATCTTTCCTCACCTTTCACAGTCAGTCTCTACTCATATCCCTGTCTTCTAGCAACCACTGCTCTGTGTTTTGTCTGGAGAATTTTTGTTTTTGTTGTTATTTTCGTGGTTGCTTTCTAAAGAAGGGTCTAGCTATGTTTGCTCATGATGAAATGCACTGTGGCCTCAACCTCCTGGGCTCAAGCAATCTTCCCTCCTCATCTTTGTGCATAGCTCGTCCTACAGGCAAAAAACACCACACCCAGCCAGTTTTTAATGTCTTGTAGAGACAGACAGGGTCTCACACTGTTTCCCAAGCTGTTCTCACACTCCTGGGCTTAAATGATCCTCCTATCTTGGCCTCCCGAATTCCTGGGATTACAAGTGTGAGGCACCCCACCTGAAGTGTGTATAGGGTTTTGACTTTTAATGAATGTTACATATGTAATCATTCAATATGTAATCTTTTGGGTCGTTTAATATGTTTTTGGGATTCATCATGATTTTTTTTGTGTATATATAATTCATTTATTTTTTAATTTTTATGTTTTATAATTTCAACTTTTATTTCAGATTCAGGGAGTAAATGGGCAGCTTCTTTACATGTGTATATTGCATGATGCTGAGGTTTTGGGTATGAGTGATTTCATCACACAGACATTGAGCCTAGTTTCCAACAGATACTTTTTGAGCCCATGCCTTCCTTTCTTGCTCTCCCCCAAGTAGTCCCCAGTATTTATTATTTCCATATTTACATCTATATGTGCCAATGCTTAGATGCCACTTTTAAGTAAAAACGTGGTGTTTGGTTTTCTGTTCATGTGTTAATTCGCTTAGGACAATGGCCTCCAGCTGCATTCATGTTACTGCCAAGGACATAATTTGGCTCTTTTTGTGGCTGCATAATATTCTGTGCTATATGTGTGCCACATTTTCTTTAACCAGTTCACCTCTGATGGACAAATAGGTGGATTCTCTGTGTTTTCTGTTGTGACTAGTACTGTGAAAAACATACAAGTGCATGGTCTTTCTGATAGAATGATTTATTTTCTTTTGGGTACATACTCAGTAATGGGATAGGTGGGTCAAATGGTAACTCTGTTTTAAGTTATCTAAGAAATCTCCAAACTGCTTTTCACAGCTACTGAACTAACTTAGGTTCCCATCAACAGTGTGAAAGCGCTCCCTTTTCTCCACAGCCTCACCAGCATCTGTTATTATGTAATGTTTTAATAATAGTCATTCTAACTTGTGTGAGACAGTATCTCTTTGTGGTTTTGGTTTGCATTTCTCTGATGATTACTGATTATGAGCATTTTTTCATATGTTGATTGGCCATTTGTATGTCTTCTTTTGAGAAATGTCTGTTTATATCCTTTGCCCTTTTTTTCTTCCTTTTTTAAATTATACTTTAAGTTCTGGAATACATGTGCAGAAAGTGCAGGTTTATTACATAGGTATACATGTGTCATGATGGTTTGCTGCACCCATCAACCCATCATCTGCATTAGGTACTTCTCCTAATGCTGTCTCTCCCCTTGCCACCACCCTCTGACAGGTCCCAGGGAATGATGTTCTCCCAGAATGAACTTTGTTCAACCTTATCACAGTCCAGGTTAACAAATTCTTAAAGAAAGATCAAAAGAGATAAAACTGTTTCTAAAAATCTTAACAGTGATCTGAAATAACATTCAAAAATATTGTTAGAAAAACAAAAATACACAATGGCAGTTTAAAAATTTACTGTGTCTATAATAAAATTACAAAAAATATATCAGGAATGCAAACAAATAGTAAAATAATACTCATAAAAATAAAAAAGTAATCAATAAAAGATGAACCAGAACTGACACAACTTTTAGAATTAGCAGACAAGGACATTGCAACATTTTAAATAACCATATTTTATATATTCAGATAAAGTAAGTAAATATATGATAGACAAAGACAGACAAATTTGTATAATAGAGCTAAAATATGCAACCTCTGAAATGAGAACTATATTGTCTGGAATTAGCAGCAGATCAGACTGGCATCAGATTGGATTAGCAATCCTGAAGACAAAGCATTTAAAACTACAAAATGAAAGAGAGAGAAGGGAAAATTTTAGCCTATGATCGATGTATCAATCAGACATAGATGACTTCAAGTGGCCCAATATGTGTGTAATTTAATTACTCAAAGGTTAAAACAAAAAGTCATTACAGAAAAAAAAGTTAGTAATGGTCAAAAATTGTACAGATTTTTAAAAATTTACATATCCAAAAAGTTTGATGACCCCAAAAGGAAGAAAGAAATTAATTTAAGCCTATGGCAATATCCATCATAATCTGATAGCTCAAAATCAGTGACAAAGAGCAAATCAACAAATAAAACAACAACAAAAAAAGATAAGAAAAAGGAAGAAAAGAAGGAAGGCAGGAAGGCCAAAAGGCATAAAGGAAGAGAGACGAGAGAGAGAGAAAGGGAAAAAAAGAGAAAGGAAGGAAGAAAGAAAAAGAGAGGAAGGAAGAAAGAAAAAGCAAGAAACAAAGTGGGGGAAGGGAGAGAGCAAGGGAGGAAAGGAGGAAGGGAGAAAGGGGGAGAGAGAGAAGAAAAAGTGACAGGCTCCAGGGAGAGAAAGAGAAAGGAAAGAAGGAAGGAAGAGAGGAGAATGAAAGGGAGAAAGAAGTAATGATCAGGAAAAGAGAGAATAATATGTCCATCAATTTCTTACCAGGAAGAGTACAAGTGACTAAAAGTTGAAAATATATTTGAAATAATAATAAAAAATTGTCAATCTAGAATTATATACTCAAAAAATCTTTCCAAAACAATACTTTCTTCTAAGAAAAAGTCCTTTTTCAGGTATATAAAAACTAAAAAAGTCAACCTTCTGGAGACTCATATTACAATAGATGTATACACACACACGCACAGAAGAGCACCAGAAGTAGTTGTTATATAGGCAAATATTTAATATTTTTAATTACGTAAAACTTTTTAAAAGTAAGCCTTAATTTCCATGTCTATGATTAGTACTCATAGCATCCAAATTGCCAATAAATAATGTTTTGTGAACCTTTATCCCCCTTCTAATAACTATAATGAATAAATGTTTGTTTCTACTTTTATGTTTGCTATGTGCAACGCTGACTCCATTGTACAATATCAAAGATGAATAGTATTAATGTCCTGTGGTCAGAAGTTACTGCACAGTATGATATGCAAACATATGAAGAAGCAAGTATAAAAAGACCAGTGTTCTCTCTCTCTTAATATAGAGATATACAGGATACTTCTGGTGTAGGTTATCTGAGGAAAGTAACTGAAACCCAGATCTTTTCCATTGTCACTGCTTTTTGGGAAATATAACCTAAGAAACCATTGGTTATTATGATAGATCAGGCGTACCCAAACTGCGGCCCCCTGAGGCCATTTATCCGCCCCCCCCCCCCCACCCGCCGCACTTCAGGAAGGGGCACCTCTTTCATTGCTGGTCAGTGAGAGGAGCACAGTATGTGGCAGCCCTCCAACAGTCTGAGGATACTTCCCCCCTACTTCCTCTTTAATAAATAACCTGCTTATTCCTCAGGCCATTTATACTTTATGTTATTCAGTGGTAGGATTATTAAATGTATCCTAATAATTACATTAAATAATAACATTATACAAAAATACACTTTTTGTCAATGCCTACAAAAATATTTTCAGGAAAACATGGAGCCTTCTGCCATGAAATTTTAGATATATTCTTTTCTTACAATATAGATTAAGGCATCAGGCCACATACCATTTTATAAGTGTTGAACAGGTCAACTACATTCCTTCTAATTTGCTGCAGAGACCTACCTAGAGAAAAAAATGCATCTGATAATAATTTCATGATTAACCATATCTCTCAATTATCAACTATTCTTTATTGCTAATTTCAAAATGACATTGTGGGCACAAATTTCCCCCTGTAAACCTCACTGATATATTTTTATATTTATGCTTATGTTATCTAGTTTCCCAGGGTTTCTCATCGCCTAATCTTATTTCCAAAAACAGTTCTGACCATGCATTACAACAATTAAAACAAAACAGAGAACCACATGAGAAACAGAGTGCACTGACACTGATGAGTAACTTTTACAAACCTTGCCTAGGCAAGGGGAAAAGCCCAATGTCTTCAGCAAATCACTGTTTTTTTGGGACATCAGAAAGTGAGGAGGAACCAGGGTACAAAAATGGAGTATTACTAACAAAGCGAAAGCTAACTTTCCCCTGACCGAGAGTTCTGCTGATTTGGGGGATCTCTCTGTGTGGATGGTATTCCTGATCACACTGAAGAGAATTTTGACGTTTATCTGCTGAAGTGGCAAAGATTACCATTGCCCAATGATCCCTACAAGGTGCAGAATAAATGCCTGGACAAATGTAACAATGGGAATCAAGGAACATGGGTCACTTAACTGAGAGTAGTGACATTGAAGGTAACATTTCCACATCCTGGCAGCATTGCCCAGCAAAGACTTCCTGTCCATGTCGTTCATCCCTTCTATATGTTGAGTCATCCTCAATTCACTATCTTGTAGTTGTTGAAAAAGCTATTCTGCTTCTTTGTCCGGTGCCTGCAGATGCAGTTGCTCCTTCTCAGGCAGAAATAGATGTGTCTTTTGATATTGAATTTTTATCATCACCTTCCGTAAAGCCACATAGTTCTGCAGAGATATTCACTTAAAAGGATTACATGTCCTCACTCTTCATAGAAAACAGAAAGCTTCAAATAATTATATTCTGAATTTAATCATTCAAGTAATCTATACATTTTCTGCCTCTCTCTTGCAAAGAATCTTCAATATTTGCTATTTTTTTCTGACCATTGTTTTTGTTTTTGTTTTTATTTATTACACGTTAAATTCTGGGGTATGTGTGCAGATCGTGAAGGTTTGTTACGTAGGTATACATAAACCATCATTCTTAGCAAACTGACACAAGAACAGAAAATCAAACACTGCATGTTCTCACTCATAATTGGGTGTTGAACAATGAGAACACACGGACACGGGGAGGGGAACATCTGACCATTGATTTTTAATGTTCCTATTCTCTCTCCCTGTTTAAATCAAAACCTCTAAAGACTCGTTCTTCTTTCTTTTTGCTTCACACTTCTTACTGAGTCAATTATTTCCTCTATTAGTCTTCTCTCTTTTAGGGATTTCCTTTGCCTGATTCTCCCAAATATTAAAAACATTTAGGTATATACCATATTATGCAGATTTTTTTTACTTTTACTATAATTTTACTCTATATACTATTATATTTCTTTTCTCTTGCTCACACCCAAACTTAGTGAAATGTTGTCTTATCTCCAGTGTCTGAAAAGGTTTTTGTCAATTTTCAAATTTGAACTAGGACACATACCATGCCCTGTTTATCCAATATACTACAAGTATTTGGGTTAGCTTGTGTTGGCCTATTTGTGACTCCTGTTATATCATTTGAAATCACTACATTTTCTTAGGATGAAACAACTATCTTTTAACTGGTTGTTTGAATTTAGCTAAAAAGTATAATCCAAAATTATGTTTATCTGCATAAAAACAAAGGAAACATTTTTATTCTTACCACTAATGAATGAGTTTTGCTAGTTTCCTGATTTATATTGTTTTGTGTCTCTTGACTGATTTTCCACAAAGGATCCATTTCATTTATAAGTTTCTCCTGTAAAATAACAAAGAAGGTTAGCAGTAATAAATACATTATTGTAGATTTCATTCCTTTGTCTATGAGACAAGAATTTGGTTGAGAGAATTATAATTTTGAGTTACAGTTGAGTGGTCAGATTTTCCATATTAACATTTTGAATATAAAAAGTAATAGAAACATAATAGAGACTTGGAAGGGATTCTTCTGATAAGATCGTAAATTTCCTGAGAAATTGGCTTTTGTATAACCTGGCTTTGAAGGAGTCAAGCTTGCAGCAGAAGCCAGTGTTATTGGTGCTGGCCACCACCTCCACAGCTCCATGCCACACATTTGGACAGTGTTTCTAAGGAAACCTCCTTTGGTGAAGGCTCAGCACAGCTATGATTAAAGTGTCAAATTAGTCAGCAACATTGAAAGGACACATTTGTATCTTGGGATTTTCGTGAAATAATCACCACCTCCACCACCTGCATTCTCATCAACAGATTGTCACAATCCCTCATCCTTCTAATTCACAATCCCGTAGATTTCAAACTGCCTTAGAGACATCACATACCCTGCATTCCGCAGCAGCCCATCCTAGATATTGTGTGAGCTGTTGATGTTCTGAGGTCTGGTCTGCCTGGCAAGGGAAACCAGCTTCTTAAGGACCACACTGATGTTGAAGTTGGGCTTCCCTGAGATTTCTCTGCACCCAGGACAGCTCATTGGAGCTTGGCCTTGTTCTCAGCATAGCCATTTATTTATTTTGCTCTGGTGAGAGGGAAAAAGGGTTTGTAAACAATTTTTATTGTCTGTCTGTGCTCTGTCCAATCTACCTAATAACTTATCTCCAGTACAAGCCTAGACGTACTAAATGCAAATATGCTGTATTTATACAATTTTCTCTCAGTAGCCATTAAAGATTGGGTCCTGGACTCCCGGAGATATCAAAATGCTAAGATGTTTAAGTCTCTTTACAGAAAATGTTATAGCATTTGCATGTAACCTAAACATATCCTCTGGATACTATAAATCACCTCTAGATTACTTTTAATGCCTAATACAATGTAATTGTTGTGTAAATAGTAATACCATATTTTTTAGGAACAATGAGAAGATGTTTAAAACTCTGTACATATTCAGTCCAGCTGCTTTTCCTTCCTCTCAAATATTTTTGATCTGAGGTTAGTTGAATCCACGGGTATAAAACCCATAGATATGAGGAAACAACTGTGATACAAATGAGAAAATGAGATAAAGATCCTCATAGTATTTTTGTTAAAACGACCAGTGCTCTCAATCATACCCAGATTACTTAAAGAAGCCTAAAGCTTGGGCAGAGAGTAAAAGCTGGTGTGATTCCTGAGTCACTTTATTAGCTTATTAACCAAGAAGCACATCTCAAATCTCTTCCTGTTTACATCTTTCTAAACTTATTTGTCTCTCAATGGTTTCATAATTATAATATGCAAAAGATAACTTGGTATTTATGCTAATAGTCTGTACTCCCTGCCTCCAAACTTAACTGTGAAGTTTTCTTAAGACAGTTATAAATGGATTAGGTTTTATCTATGCTTAATTAATTCAATCAGAGTTGACTTCAGCTGTCAACTTCTAAAACTATCAACGGTTGAATTTGACTTTCTAACTTTAATATCAAAACTCTTCCTTTCAAAAATTAAATGAAAATAGTATCTATTATTTTTAATTTAGGAAAATTGTTCCCATAGTCAATTCAGATGATCAGAGAGAGCACCTTAGCATTCTGAAATGGTAAATATTTAAGCTATAATAATTATCAAGAATTAATCAATAATTACCTTCTAAAATGACAACAACAAAAAGTTAAGATATGTATTAGTCTTTCCTGTCTATACTAGAAAATCTAGAAATGCATTTAATGGAAGCACGACCACCTAGTCATCTTTATTTCCAATAGTTCACTATAGTGACTTGGAAGCCACAGTTTCTTGGGATCCCTTGCAAGCTGGTTGGATCTGTTTTCAACACTTCTAAAATCTTGTCTGGAAATTGAAGATTTTAAAGGGACAGCAAATAAGACCTTTGCAACAAGAATTTTCAAAGTAATTTAACATTTTTAACTTTCATTTTGTTGTACATAAAAATCATTACTATATGCCCACATTTTAGTGAACATGTAGGTACTTTATGGGTTTCATCAATGCATAAAACTCTGGAAATATATTTCTTCACACCTAAAATGATACAACAGAATTGGATTTTATTATTTTATTTATTTTATAAAATATTTCTGAATACAGAAAATAGTCAAATAAAAATAATCAGATAGCAATGGAACACAAACCATATATTACAAACAAAAGATACTTTATATTGATGTCTACTTGTTTGCCTAAACAAGACCCAAGCTTGCTGCCAGGTACATTTAAAGTATTTTTATGAGAAAAAGTAAGCATGATGAGTTTATTGTAAATTCCATACTCACAAGGCTACTGTGAATGTCTCACATCTAGAAGCTCTGTCAATATCCAGATCAGCAGTAACTCCTGGCTCTCAGGAGCCACAAATCCAGCGGGTCATCTCTGGAGAAGAAATCTCTGGACAAGCATCCTTTAAAAGGGTTTGGTCCCAACCAAGATGACACCCACTTTCTCAGATTGATTCGGTTGCACAGAAAGGTGTGAAATTGGCTGCTTAGATTTATAAAGTATATTAAAAAAAACCACAGTTGGAGGCTAGCAACTCAACAGAAGACTTTGGGATAAGATGGAAAAAAGTTAATTTAATGCATGTAGTCCAAAGAAACATTTTAACTGAAAGAAATATTTCATTAAACATGTTCTTTTTTTTTAATCACATAGTAACTTTAAACATTTCTTACTCTGTTTTAAATTTTAAATTTCTTACTCTGTTTTAAAACAAATTTATAATTGCTTACCAAGTGCCTAGCTGTATTTATCTGAGTATGTTCAAAAACAAAACATCAACTGGGATTACTAACACATCTGTACTGTGTAACTCTTTCATTTAAAAGAGTGTACCAAGGAACTAGTTGTGATTCAGATAATTGTATGTATAGAAATTGGTGGAATTACTTGTATCAGCATATTTCCCTTATTTTCACCATTTTATGACTATTTTGAAATAATTGCTTCATATGAAAATAAAGTTTTTTTGATTCATACACCTTTGTGAATAATTTTTAACCAGATACTTTACATATATATGTACATACATATCTATAACAATGTATGTATTCATATTTTAAAATTTATGTAATCATTTAAGCAATAGTTATATGCATAATTATCTTTAATAGTGTGTGACAATTATTTTTAACAGGGTTGCCATGCAAATATTTTGTTGTCATTTACCATGATTTAATAAGTTACTGATGTTTACACATAATTGTATTAATACATTATCTAATGTTTTAGGATTTAGGTTCTTTCTATAAACTTAAAATTATCTAACCTTGCTAGAAATTGAAAAAGTGAAAATCTAAATAAAAGTCACCATTTAAATATTAACAGACATTAAATAACTCTAAAAGCCAGTGTATCCTAGAAAAAGATAAAGTGAGTGTCTTTTTAATCAATGCATGGCATTGTAAATTAGCATGTTTTCTGAAGTGTCATTTCATCAGCATTATGCTTCAAAAAAATCTATCCTAAAAAATTAAGAAAAGGTAATCATAGATGCATATAAGGACATTTCCAGAAATTTTATTCTTTGAAAATGACTTCAAACACTGCTTAAAATGTTACATGTTATTTACATAAGTATAGAGGGGAAACGCTTTCTAGTATTCTCACTTTTCAGTAAAAATTCAATGTTATGTTGTGTAGAATGCCCTGTATTAGAACTAAACAATAAGTAACTTATGAGATGCATACAGAAGAATGAACAATAGTTCCAAATCTTAGTGCTAGAAGCTACCAAATTTATCATCTATTTTACTACAACTGTATCAGTCATGCAGAAAAGGTAGGAGAGAAAAAGTGCTGGTATTACATTTGCTAACTAAAAAATACTCTACCATTCAAATGAAAATATCAAACATTTACTGATTACTAAAAAACTGTTCTAAGTGTTTTACATGTTCTAACTTATTTAATTCTTGCAGCAACCCCATGAGATAGATCATATTTTATACCCATTTAAAGATTAAGAAACTTAATAACAGAAAGCTTTAATAATTTGTCCATAGTCATACTGTAAGTGGGAGAACTAGGGTTAGAACCCAGGCAATCTGTCTCTAAAAACTGTGTTCCTGGCTGTAGGCTGTGGCTCATGCCTGTAATCCCAGTACTTTGGAAGGCAGAGGCAGGTGGATCATTTGAGGTCAGGAGTTTGAGCCCAGCCTTGCCAACCTGGTGAAACCAACTCTACTTAAAATGCAAAAAATTAGCTGGGCTTGGTGGTGGGCACCTGTAATCTCAGCTACTCGGGAGACTGAGGCAGGAGAATCACTTGAACCCAGGAGGTGGAAGTTGCAGTAAGCTGAGATCGCACCACTTTACTCCAACCTGCCAACAGATTGAGACTTTGTCTCAAAAAAACAAAACAAAAACTGTTTTCCTATCATTGCACTACCTCTTGTGAATGAGTGTGACTTAAGCATGTTGCCAAAGTATCTTCCTGAGACACTGAATTACATACAGTATTTTGGGGAGATGCTGATTGCATGCTTATAAATTGGTTGAAAGTTGACAAAGCTTTCAAGTATTATGCAGATTTTGGTCCATATTTTATAATAATATTCACCTTATCATACATCTACAATATTGTCCAACTTTCTAACAATGATGTCACAAAAAAACCTGTTAGCATGCTCAGCCAAACCCCATTAATAAAGGCATTGTGGAAATCGTATCAGCTTTTCTTTTCAAAGCACAGAATGTCTCGGACAGTCTCATATGCTCGTCACCCTGATTACTCGCAAAATGAGTGTCATCTATGGGCTCTTCATACTGATAGGGATTGGAGCCAAAATAAAAAACAAGACTCAGTCTCTAATGAACTTGTGGCCTAGTAGGGGATACAAGAGAAGGGGCAGTCATCCTGGAAGTATTCCTAGAAGAGATGACATGTAAGCTGAGACCTGAAGGATGAGGGTAGTCTTGTCTTTTCTGGGGATAAAGTCTACATGGCAACCGTCGTCATGAGAAAAGATTCGGAACTTGGCGTGGTGGCTCTTGGGGAGGCAAAGGCAGATTAATAGCTTGAGCTGGGGAGTTCATGATCAGCCTGGGATACATGGTAAAACACTGTGTATACAGAAAAAGGCAAAAATTAGCCAGGGATGGTGGTGTACGCCTGTAACCTGAGCTACTTGGGAGTCTGAGGCTTAAGGATTACCTGAGTACAGGAGGCAGAGATTACATTGAGCTGGGTTTGTGCTGCTGACTCCACCCTGAGTGACAGAGTGAGACCCTGCCTCAAAAAGAATAAAAAAAAAAGTTCTGATCTTTCGTTGGGTTGATTCCCTTCTAATCCATCTAGGCCAGAACGCTTTCTGAAATGCAAAAGTGTCCATATCCCTATCCTTCTTAACTTTATTATGAGCTTTTGATAAACTACGGGAAAATAGTTATACTACTCTGGATGTCTTTAA